AAAAAAAAAAAAAAAAAAAAGAAATCATCATTTGTCAATTTTTAGTGTCAAATCAAATAATAATATTGACAATTATTTGAAAAGGCTTTTAAAATACTCTTCTTATTTTCAAATATATGTCTGTGTGAGGTCAGATTTTTTTTTTCCTACATGCTTTAGTCAAAATCATATATGGCCATAGATACACTACAGAAGCAGACATGAAAATCTCCTGTCTTCTTCTATTAAGGCAGTCATTAACGAGATCTACAGAAATATGAAACATTGCTACTCTTTTCAATAGTTTTTTTGTTTGGGAAATATAAAAATTTTCATAAAAATATGTTACCTATATTAGTATGTAAATGGGGTTATAGTTACTATTTTTAAATGAATTATACATATTTGTAAATTTTCTTTTTATGGTTCTCAAAATTTTTTGAGTATTATAAAGGTTCTTGAAATGAAACAGTCTGATGGATGCTGATTGAATCTGAAACTCTTGGATTTATGAATGAGCTTTAGAATGATGAAGGGACTTGCTCACAGCTCCACAGACAGAGCCAAAATTTGGTCTTCAAAACACATTCTTATGCAATGAAACAAAATACAAAAGGATGAATATAAAGCTGATACTCTCCCATGTAAACAATCACATAATTCACAATAAAAACTTAAAACAAAAACAAAAACCATAGTCTTACATCCCATACAATGATTTTAAAATCTAATTCTCTTTTTATTCTCTTTGAGTTAGGTGCTAGCTATAAATATATCTGTCCGTTCACTTGTGTATTTATTCAAGGTGATACTAGTGCTGTTTTATGCCAGCAATATGAGATATAGAACACCCCGACCAATGATGAAATATCTTTTAACATTCCTATCTCCCAAATCACTACCTCCCTCCTGAACTCTTTAGTAGCACAGTCATTTGTTCATTTGGCAAGTATGTGTTTAGTACCACCAATGTGTGAGGCTCTGTATAGGCAATCTCCCCTTGAATGTCTTGCAAGCACTATAAACTCAGAACCACATGTGCTAACCTTACCTTTCCTCCCATGTACCTACTGCACTAACTGGTGCCATCAGCTACATTGAGGCTCCAGACTAACATCTGGTCACTATCCTTGTATCTCCACTCATTTTTTACCTCCACTGCACCCAACTCCCAAGTCCTGGGAAGTCCATCTCTTTAATACTTCTTGAATTTCCCACTTTTCCCCATCCATCCTAGTTCAGACTTCTTTTATCCCTCACTTGAATCATTCCAAATCTTCAAAATGATCTCTTTAGTTCCTGTAACTATAGCCAGAGCCACTTACAGCACCTCTTCTCATCTGTTCTCTATATTGCATTGGAGAGTACAAGCAGTTTGTAATCAGCTGTTAACCTAAAGGTTGGCAATTTGAGCCTACCCAGCAGTAGAAGAAAGACCTGGCAAACTGCTTCCATAAAAATGACAGAAAACCCTATGGAGTTCTACTCTGTAACACAAGGGATCATCATGAGGCATAATCAATTTGAACTAAATGGGTTTAGGGGTTTTTTTCTTATCATTAAAAGAGTCTGAAGAGTCTGAACCATCAATGGAGAAGAGCAGAGAGCGGGACCCTACCCAGAGAAGCAGTGATGCCTGAGATGGAGGCAGAGACGATGACATGGAGAGATGGAGCAGCTGGGAACCTTAGACACAGAGAGGGAGAGGGACTGTGTGCTGACGACCAGGGGGCAGGCTTGCAGGGTATATATACCCTTTGGTTGGCTGATGATGCATGGAGGGGATTGTAACCATGGCAATGAAACGATATACAATAGAATAAATGTAAAACAAATGTTCTCTCATGTAAAGTACCATATAATTCACAACAAAACATTAAGGAAAAAAAAAAGGGTCTGCGTTGAAGTTGTCATTTCTGGTTTACAGATGAGCAAACAGAAGCTCTGAGAATCAAATAATTTGTCCAAGTGATCTGGTTAAGTCACTCCCCTAACTTAATCGCTGAGGGCCCTTACTCTTGGTATAAAATTGTGTTGTTGTTGTTAAGTGCCAGCGAGTCAGTTCTGACCCACAGCGACCTTATATAGGGTTTCCAAGGAGCGGCTAATGAGTTTGAACTGCCGACCCTATGGTCAAGAGTTTATCCTACAGCCCAATCTCTCTAACAAGGTATATGAGGCTATGGATTACCATACCTACCTTGCCAGCCTCTCTTTTGCTCTTTGCTTATCTCCAAGCTTCTTAATACATACAATTCCCTCGGCCTGGGACACACTTTCCCTAATGGATTCCATTTAGATAGCTCTTCCTTCAGAAAATTCCCAGGACAACCTGTGCCCACCCTAACAGCAGCATTACACTGTCTGCTTGTTTCCTATTGCCCCAGTGTGCATTCCGTCCTGGGATTTCCCCCAACCTCCTAAATTTACATGTATTAAAAGTTTCCTTTTAGTTGTATGGGTTTTGACAAATGCATGATGTCATGTAGCCACCATTACAGTACCGGACAGAATCGTGTCAATGGCATAAAAAATTCCTTGTGCTTCACCTACTGGAGCCTCACCCCTCATCACACTGCCTGCTGACTTGACTACATCTTCTTCTTGAGTCCAGGGTCTGTCCTGTTTAAAAGTGTCCTCAACATGTGTCAGAGTGCCTGGCTCTCTGTGGATACTTACAAAGATCTGTTGAATGCAAGAACTGGAAACTCTTTTGTTGTACCTACAGTTTAAATCCTTGCCCCTGAATGTCAATGCTAACTAAGTGGCTCTCAATCCCTTCCATAGTTCCAGTTTGCTCCCAGGCCCCCCTGACACTGTTTCTTCCTGGATGGCATGTGACTGAATGAATCAAACCCACAGATGACTAAGGCTGCTATTTGTATGTCTGCAGGCTCAGGCAGAAGGACAGGCTCAGAGTAGTTCAGACGAACAGAGCTGCAACCCAAGAAATAGTGAAGGGGACTGGCCCACTGTGGGACAAAGTGGGGATAGATACTTGCAGTAAAGAAGAAAGGGAGCTAGTAGCCCTGAAAAGCTTTGGCTAGAATGTCTCACATTTAAATCAATGCACTACACAACCGGTTTAGTGTTAACTTGTTACCAAAGAGTCGACTTGGACTCATAGGGACCTTAGAGAACAGAGCAGAACTAATCCATAGGGTTTCCAAGGCTGTAAATCTTTATGAAAGCAGAATACCACATCTTTCTCCTGTGGAGGTTTAAAGTGCCAACCTTTTTGGTTAGCAGCCCAACTGTTAACCCTCTGCACTCCAGGGCTGAAATCCAATATATTACCAAGATGTTACATGAATTTAGGCAGCTCTGTGGACTGCTAGCACTTTGGCCTGAAAGTCTAGGCCCTGGTGGGAATTCTGTCTTTTTAGCTCCTCTGATTTTAGAAGGAGTTGGTAGACCTCCAAAGCTGTGGGTGGAGGGGAGAAGCTGTTGATAGTTGAACCGTCGGAGCCCAGACAATGGCTTTCTCTGTGCAGCTGGGTTTTGCACCTGGTGCCCGCACAAGGCCCTCTGTGCTTTTGTCCTTCCGCACACAGTGATGTCCACACACATAACTGGGCTTATAAATACCCTCCAAAGGAGAAGTGAAATCACTGACCAGTTCTCCTTTTCTCTGCTTAGTTGAAGCCTGGTACAAACTTACATTCCCCAGCACAGGGGACTCCACCTGCTTTTATGATTTTATGGTTGGGAAGTTTGGGGCAAACATCCTGTTTAGAATAAAATGAGACACTAGACTGACTGCTGGGGCTAAATTTATCACCTGGAAACTTCAAACAAAAATAACATAGAAAGTCAAGGAAAGACCCCAGGCCTATTAGTACACCATTCACAGAAATGGAACTTTAAAGTCTTTTTCAAGTGAGCATCTTACCTGTACATAGAAGGTCCTGGAGTTTGTTATTATTTCAAACAGGTTGTCTCTCATTAAGAGATCGCTATATAGAGAAAGAGAAAAAAGTTACCAACCATACTTGTCCAAAGTCAAAATACTAGTGCCCCTCTATCATAAAAAGGAGGGTGGAGGTCTGATCCCCCAAACAGTCGGGAAGTCCTCTGGCCTTATTTCCTAGGAGGCCACAGAAGGTTTATGCCATCCAGATGGACCTCCTAACCAATTCTAACAAACAATTCCAACAAACACCTTTCCTCCAAAAATATCCTCCCACCTAATATCCACCATGCCCTTCAATTTCTAGTTTTCTCGTTTTTTAACCGCTAAGATTAAGTGTTTTGTATGAAGCACTATTTTGAGTGTTTTCTTGTATATTATTTCATTCAATCTTCTCAACAATTAAATAAAGCAGGTGTGACTTTTTCCATATTATGGATTAGGAAATCTAGGTTCAGAGAGGTTAAATGACTTGCTTCTGATGCTAGAGTTAGTAAGTGGCAGAGATAGGCAACCAACTCTTTAATTTCTGAAACCTTCCTTCATCCAGTGATCAACTTCAGAAAAGTTTCTGCTCTGTGCCTCATGGAACTGGGCACAGGGGACAAGAAGCTAAATGGGAGAAAAGGAAGAGGAGAAGAAATAGCTTTAAGTGCTTCAACCTGGGTATGGGTTCTGGAAGCAGAATCCCAACTTCTACAAGGAAGAAGTAGCCAATGCTCAGTTGTTGTTAAGTGCCATTGAAATGGTTCCGACTCATAGCGATCCTAGCGGCTGGTGAGTTTGAACCACCAACCATGCAGTCTAACACATTAATCCAGGACTCCTGTTCAGTAGCACACTTCATATCAGCCAAAACTATTTACAGTGTTAAATGCCTGCTATGTGTATCCAGTCACCGCAAGTAATATATAAGGAATGAAAGATCTAATTCCTACCACACACAAAAAAAATTTGGCAATGCAAAACAATACAGTCAAAACCAAACCCACTACTGTCAAGTCAGTTCTAACAGCGACCCATAGGACAGAGCAGAACTGCTCCTTAGGGCTTCCAAGACTATGAGTCTTTACAGAACCAGACAGCCTTAATCTTTCTCCCATGGAGTGGCTGATGGGTTTGAATTGCTGACACTGCGGTTAGCAGCCCAATGTTTAACCCACTGTGCCACTAGGGCTCCTAAGACTATACAATCTGATGTTAAATTGTGGATTATTCGCCAAGAGTTAGAATAAGTCCAAGGAAGGCCTGGTCATGGAGAGGGTTAGCTTCATGAATGAGGACCTAGAAGGAAATGGCAGGGGCTGGGCCAGTGACATGGGCATCTAGGCAAAGGAAAAGTGTGACACTACAGATCCACATAGGAAGGAGTGCAAGATGGGGGTCAGGCAAACCTGGGGCTAAATCCTGATTCACCTAGGGAAAAGTTATTTTAGGGAAGTATTTAAAACTTTATGAGCATCTGTAACCCCAATTGTAACCCTGAAGAGGCTGCTCACTGAAAAGATCAGTTGTAAGGTATACAATATACCTGGCACCAAGCATGTCACTGGGGACACATTTTACTAATAATTATTACCTTCCGAGTTTCTAAATAGAAGGGGCTATTCTTTCTGGCTAAAATATTTAAATTTTTAAAGTATTCATGCACATATGGTATAGTCCTGCTGTGGCACCATAGGATAAGCACTTGACCTCAAGGCTGGTCTGAACTACAAGATTAATGTTTCAAACTTACCAGCTGCTCCTCAGAAACCCTATACAGGGTTGCTATCAGTTGGAATCACGACAACAGCATTGAACAACAGTAACAGCATAGTACAGTCACAAAATCAACTACTGAAAAAATGAAAGGAAAGCAGAGAAGCAACCCCCACCAATTTCACATCCATTTTTTTCCGGCTACAGGGTGTCTTTCAAGTCAACAAACGTTTATTGATTATCCAAATTTTCTAAAACTCTTGACTGAGTTAGCAAGAGGTCACATGGTCTAAAAGGCCTGGAACCTACAGAGCCCTGAGGACTTCCTTCTCAGCTGATCTTCAATAACCTCCATTCTTTTGCTCCCCAAGTATAGTAAGAGTCTGGCAGAGGACAGATTTAAGGAAAGGTGGAGACATTCTTAGCATTACACTCAATCTTGGTTCCCTAAACCACCCCCAACAAGCATAGGTGTTCTGACAGGCCCTACAGTCTACGGGGTCAGGACCAATTTAGAATCCAAGGATCTAGTCAGATCCAACCTTTCCTCTCCTACTCCGAACCTCTGCAACCACATTACTAGAATTTTCAACTATAGCTACTTTCATGAGTGGTAACTTATTACTGGGAGCTTCCCTAATTTTCCCTCCTGTCTACATGCCGCCTACAAGGCTCGGTATAGTGCTTCAGTCCCTGCTTCCCTAGGTCACGTTCTGCTTTCGTGTAGGACCGTCCAACACCTACCATGGACAGCTTCATAAGAGACCAGTCCACCTGCTGCTAGTAGATTCCCCGATAACTCTGACTCTGCACACACAGTCCATGGGAGGGAGAGACAGATAAACCACAATCCCTAGAGACTACTGACTGAGGACCAGAATTAGGATTCCTAGGTGTGCCCAGATACCTTTGTGATCGCTAAAGTTTAGTTCTAAGGGCATCTATCTGTATTTGGTGTTGGATATGAGGGGGCTCTTGTCTTGGGGGGCAAGGTCCCAAAACTGTCCTATGCACCTGTGGGCTGTGTTCTATGTGCTGTGTCCTGGGTGCTTGGAAGGTAACAATTTACAGGTACATGAAAGAGGAACACATTAAAAATCCTTCCTGTCCAATGTTAGTAATCCAAAATTGCTATGAATCATCCTTGTGTTAATGAAGCGTTAAAGATTTTGTCACAAGGGGGAGAAAAAAAATGGAATAAGAAGTTCAGAGAAGAGGATTCCACTAGTAAAAGCAGTAATCTCAACAGATGCTGAAAAGTGAGTGACCTAAGGGACAGTCTCCCCACTAAATCCCAGTCCTCCCATAAAGTGAGCGCTTACTTCTAACACCTGACAAGTATCTGAACACCACTCTTTCCTTCATTTCTGTATTCCATCTTTTTTCTCCACCAGAAAGTAATAACATAAGTTTATCTCCAAAGGAGCCAGAGGGAGGCAATGGGAAGAGGGTATTGCCCAGTGTGATCTCACAGCTGTGTCAGTGCAGATCCAGTGAGTCAGCCACAAGATATCGGGCCCCACCCCTTGCTCTTGGAAGAAGATAGGACTTTTGAATCGAGTTTCAGAAGGGGAATTAATGAAGATTTCAGAGGAGAAATAGGGGTTACAGTCCAAAAAGAATAAGCATAGACAACAATTACCCAGACTTGACCAGACACTCATGGGTCTTGACAACATCCTTCAGAAATATAGTACGCAGTGGCTCTCGGTCCTGGTGGGAAAACATAAAAAGATGAGTAAGTCAGTCTGTCTGCATGACCTAACTCAGACCAACTGGTAGATGCCCCTCTCTTATCAGAGATGGTTGGCTGAAACCAGGCTGACAAACAAGCCAAGGACTCAAATTAAATCATCAAGAGACAAAAAATAAAAAATCTAGGATGACCCATTATAGCTTTGACCACAGAGCAGTTCACTATATAAAGGGAGGAAGTCAGGACCACTTTGATATCACTGTAAAGTTGTGAACACAGGATGAATGGAGGTAAGACAGGGGTGCCTTTGACGTTTGCATGTGTAGCCATGAATCTATTCACACACACACTCACGTGGGTACACACTCATGTGTCTCCTAGTTTCTGTGACCTCTCAGAAAGGCTTCAAAGGTACTACAAACCTGTTCACACTTGAAGTAGCAGATGCTAAAGTTATCCAGGGCAAAGAAGCGACGTTTCCAGCTCTTCCGCTGAAATTAAAAATAAAGAGGCAAGACATTAGGGGAAGGTACGTAACATTTTGGAGAGGTGTTCTAATTCATGTCTCTTAGAGGCCCAGTCCATGTAAGGCAGGCTCCCACATTCAGTGAGGCCAACGGCTTTTCCTATCAGGGACAATACTTCTGACATTCTGAAAGGTCACTTGGCTCCAAACATCTCAATGGCTTGAGCTGTGGCTAACATGGAGGACCACAGTCTCTCCTCTCAATCTCGTCTCCCTCTGTTACCTCCATACCCACCAGCTCCGAGGAGTCACCAGAATCCCGACCCAGCCCCTATGTTGACACTTACCACATTCCCTTGCTTCACACAGTAGCCACTCTTAATGAGGGGAGGCCCAGTGGAAGCACGGCAGCCTGTTGTAGGGATGTAACTCTGAGACCTTCGGAGGATGGCGTGGGACCCTGGCTCATTCCCTTCCTGCCCATCCCCACCATTCTACAAGGAAACAGTGTCAGGATTAGCACCTCCCTCTCAATCTTCTTCAGTCACATTCCCCACCCAGCCACCCAACCCCCTCTCTGACCCAACTGACCAAATCTTTGTCAGTGTTACTCATACAAGAAGTAAACATTTACTTTGTTCCTGTCAGACACTACAATGTGTGCTTTCGTAGAACAAAGCTTGGAGAAATTAAGCAGACCCAGGAAAGAAGGACAGAGAATGCAAACCAAAGCAGGCGATAGCAGCACAAATGGGAGAGGGACTTATCTCTAATCCCACCTGCCTTTGGTAGCAGCATTTCCTCTGGGCTTAGAGAAGGTGGCCTCAATTTCTGAACTACTATTACTCACCCATCCCTACCCCATCTGCACTAGCTTCACCCACTTTCAACCACCCTTCCCTCCATTACGGTCCACTGTGTATATCACCAGGCATACCAAACACACTACCATGCCCTCATTGCCCCCTGGCAGTCCCAGGCCCCAGCACCTGATTGATGGGTGTGTGTACCACCACCCCTCCAATGATCTCTGTCTTGTAGGCCACCTGTGGCTTCTTCTCCAGGCCCACGGTAACTGCTGGGCTCTTGATAACTTCAGTTGCCAAGGGCAGGCTCCCACCTTTGGGTACCTAGGAAAATGGGAGCATGGTCAACAAGAAATAAAAGGCTTAGGATAAGGGAGAACCAAATGTAGGGCATGGGGGAGAGGTGAGGAAAGTTAATGTTGTAGTAAGGCACCCCTGTTTTCCCTAGCCCTTCCATGGATCTAGATTTCAATGTAAGGAAGTGTGCCATCAATCCCCTCCACAAACACAGAAACTTATTTTCCAAAAAAAAATTAAGCAACTACTATGGACCTGGTGTGGTGCTGTAGGACAAGCATTGGACTACTAACTGCAAGGTTGGTGGTTCTAACCCACCAGCCACTCCTTGGAAACCCTATACAGGGTCGTTATGAGTCAGTACCAACTCGATGGCATGTAACAACAACTTTGAATCAAGGGAGCCCTGGTAGCACAGTGGTCTACGAGTTGGGTTTTTAACTACAAGGTCAACAGTTCAAATCTACCAGCTGTTCTTCTGTAGAAGATGAGGCTTTCTGCTCCCATAAAGATTTACAGCCTTAGAAATCCTATATAGAGTAGTATGAGTCGAAATCTGTTCGATGGCATACAACCCACGAGACCGTGAACTACGAGCCCTGGTGGCACAGTGATTAAAGTGCTCAGTTGCTAACTAAAAGGTTCAAACCTACCAGTCACGCCATGGGAGAGAGATGTGGCGTTCTGCCTCTGTAAAGATTGTTGTTGTTAAATGCCGTCGAGTCAGTTCCGACCCATAGCAACCCTCTAAAGGGTTTCCAAGGAGCGACTGGTGAGCTTGAACCACCAACCTTGCAGTTCAAACTGACTTTGCAGTCTAGCACATTAACCCACAGTGCCACACCAGGACTCCCTGTAAAGATTACAGCCTTGGAAACTCTATGGTGCAGTACTGCTTTATCCTATAGGGTCACTGTGAGTTGGAATCAATTCAACGGCAATGGTTTGGATTTGGAGTTACTATGAACCAGTAAATCCCTGGCTAGGGACTAAAGATAAAATAGCAAACAACACAGACATGGGCTTTGCTTTCACGGCACTTACATGCTAGTAGGTAAAATTGATATTTTTAAAGCACAACAACATGTAAACAACCAAATCAGAATGATTAAAATTGTGGTGAATGCCATAAAAAAAAAAAAATGATGAGTCAAGATGGAAGCTAGCAAGGACACTAATACGTGGAGTGATGAGGGGAGCTTCCCAGAGGGCAACATGTTGAAATAGTGATGTGGAAGATGAAAAGGAGCAAGAGAATGCGAAGAAGGGAGAAAGAACATGGTAGACAGGTGAAATCACTAAAACCGCATGCTGAATATGCCAGGGAGTATTAGAGGAGAATGAACTGTGGAGCCAAAGAGCCTAGTTATAATTCCTAACAAAATGACCATTGGTAAAAACAGGGGCGTAGTTAATCTTACAGTCCACAAACAGAGGACCCTAGGACCATTGAAGGAGAAGAGCATGACCGGAATGTGGGACCATATCCAGAGAAGCAGTGACGGCAGAGATGAGAGCATGGAGAGAGAAAGCAGCTGAGGACTCTAGACTCAAGGAAAGACAAAGACTGAGTGCTTGTGGCCAGGAGGCAGGCTTGCAGGATGTGTCCTTTGGTTATTTAAATGATTATTCCCGAGTGTTTTTGTGTACATCTCCCTCCCCCCCCCACGCAAAAAACAGAGGGAATAGAAGCAAATACTGTTGAGTGATGATGCATGGAGGAGACGGTAATCATTACAATGAAATGATGAGTGTGAAACCAATGTTCTCCCATGTAAACTAATAAAAACTTAAAAAAAAATGACCGTTGGTAAATGATTTAACTTCTCTAAGCCTAAACTCTGATGTGTAAAATAGGCTGAGGATTAATATTTCTGTCATAAAGTTGTTGTGGTTATCAATTGTTAGAGTATAAAGAAATAACATTTTAAAGTTCTAGAAATGATTAAAATTTATATTTTATAAATACCAACATTTACAAATATAACCCTTTTTTTTTTTTTTGGTACAAGGAGTTGTATTTGCTACTTTTTGGCAGAGTGATAGCACCATAGCTGATGAGAGAACTGGAGACTTTTATAGCTAATGAGAGACCACAGGTTAGAGGCTACAAACTGGTCTGGTAGCCCACAGGCAGAATCTGTCCAAATTGTGTTTTGTTTCTCCTATACAGCATGTTTTTAATCCACGTTTAAAATTGAGATATTCCATATGAAAATCCAGATTTCTAGCTAAACAGCACTTCCCTCTAAAGATGGGAAATATGTTGTATAGTTTTCCATAATCCCTACCATTCTTCATTCTTCCCAATACTGTGGCCACAGGCCAGACTATTTTTATCCTCATTTATGGTGATGTTTTTCTTCCTCCTTGCTCATTTCTACAATTTGTACTGGAGTCTGCACACTCTGATGAAATCCTTCATTTTGTAATGGAAAAAAAAAGAGAGAGACAGAGGCCCCAGTAGTCATTTTCCCAAAGCCATGACTAATAACTGCACTGAGAGTAGACCCTGAATTCCAACCAGTGTACTCTCCACAGCATTCCTATACCTCGCCTTCACAAGAACTGACTACTCTGCTTCTATCTGCCAAAGACAGGGACTGCAGACCATAGTATGCGGTTTCTATTCAAAGGAGGAAGACCACTAGTTTGAGCTCTCAGCTTACATATATATATGTGTGTATGACGAGAATCCTCATTCTTCTTTCCTTCTGGCTGTCTGAGAGATGCTATTATTTGTTAGCTGCCGTCCATTCACTCAGTACTAACTCATGACAACCTCCTGCACAACAGACCAAAGCTTCTGGGCCCTTGACCATCCTCATGAGTGGCTGTGAATCAGACAGCTGTGATCCAGGGGGATCATATCTTTCAGAAGTAGATTGCTAGGCCTTTCTTTCTAGTCTGTCTTAGTCTGAAAGCTCCATCGAAACCTGTTCAGCATCAGTCACACATACGCATCCGTGAGCTGCTTTGGCTGGGGATTGAACCTGGGTCTGCCACACGAAAGATAATTCTACTACTAACCCATTATCTAAAAGATAATGCTCTCAGGGGCCATCAAGTTGATTGTGATTCGTAGCGACCCTGAAGGTCAGGATACTGCTGTGTGGCTGCAGGATAAGCACTGAACCACGAGGTTGGTGGTTCAAACTCAACAGCCACTCCACAGAAACCCTACACAGGGTCTGTATGAGTCAGAACCGACTCAGTGGCATGCCACTTAACAAAAGGACAGAGCAGAACTACCTCACAGAGCTTCCTAGGCTGTAATCTTTATGGGAGCAAATCACTAGGTCTTTTCTGTAGAGCAACTGATGATTTTGAAAAGCCTCTGTTTTGGTGAACTTAATCATTGTGCCACCAAGGACTGCTCCATGTCTGAGAGATAACAGATATTCCCATTTAGTGCCAGGTAATGTGCTAAATTCTTTACTACATTATCTCTGATCATCACAGCAATTTTATCAAGCAGACATTATTTTCTCCATTTTAGAAATGAGGCCTAAAGCTCAATAAAATTAAGTCATTTGCTCCACAACTATCTGACTACCCATTGCTAAATATTAACCAACCTAAGACACCCTTTGTAACTTTCTCTGAGTTTTACTATTGTATGATGGCATTTCTTTAAAGCTGCTGATTATGGAAGGAGTGTTTAGTGATATAACCATTATGGGATAGCAGAAATATCCTCAGATCTCAAAGGACCCAAATGAGATCCAGAAACCCAGAAAAGATTATTGTCTAAGAAACCCTATGAGGTAGTTGTATTCTGTCCTGTTATTGTTATTGTTGCTAAGTGCCATGCCATTGAATTGGTTCCAACCCATAAGGAACTAGCCGTTTAGTGTTCCCAATGACCAGAAAACGACCAGCTAAGAAGCTTGGCTGTTGTGTTTCCTCTCAAAATCTAGTCAACCTAGTTAGGAGACCACTGGTGATCACCTCCCATGTCACCATGTTATGGACTGCTTCCAACCACCAAGAGCTTCTCTAAAACAACTGCCATTGCATATGAGAAACTAAATCAGCCAGAAAGCTCTGGACATCTACTTCCCAAATGATAAAAAAAATTAGCCATTGAAAACCCTATAGAGTTCTACTCTGGCACCCATGGGGTCACCATGAATGGAAGACAACTGGAGGGCAACTGGTAGTGGCAATGTATAAGACAAAACTATGCTACACTGCTAGAAAAACAGGTCATTCTTAGATCTGCCCATATTCAAGAGGCTTTATTAAAAGGTGTGCCCTCTTCCATCCTCAAATAGAGTATCCCCTGATAAGGAAGATCCACATGTATCTCATCTACAATGCAAGAAAAACAAGAACTCATCCTTCTAGCCAATCATACAGCCAGAATCCATGAGGAATAATCCAATCTGTTTGGGAGAAACCATGCTTTACTTTCGCTACTAAATTTTCCACCTTTTTGGGAAATATAATGGATTCAATAGTATTCCCAGAAAATTCATGTACCAGAACTTCAGAGTGTGATCTTATTTGGAAATAAGATCTTTGCACATGTAATCAAGTTAAGATGAAGTCATACTGGGTTAGGGAAGAACATAAATCCAATGAGTGATGTCCTTAGAAGAGAAGAAATGGGCACACAAACACACAGGCAAGAATGTCATGTGACGACGAAGCAAAGATCAGAATAATGCAGATACAAGTCAAAGAATGCCAAAAAGAAAAAAAGCCAGGAGTCACCAAAAAGCTTAGAAGAGGCACGATAGAACTGTTTCCTAGAGCTTTCAGAGGTAGCATGGCCTTGTGATACCTTGATTTCATACTTCTAATCTTCAGACTGTGAGAGAATTTGTTTCAGCACAATTTGTCTCTTATTTTAAGCTACCAAGTTTCTGATAATTTGTTTCAGCAGCCCTGGGAAACTAATACAGGAAGTATTTGGAATTCTTTGAGAGAACCCAATACTTTAAATACCACATGTCAATCATTTTTTCAATCATAAGGACTCAATGAATTTAGTATAAAATGAGCAGAGGATCTGAGGGTGAAAAAAACTGGATCCATCTTGGCTCCTTTAAGATCATGGGCAAGTCAGTTTACTCCCTTGACATTTCCATGTCTGCACTATAAATGAGGATAATAACACTGGTACTTCTTACTTAAGAAAGTGTGTATGAGGCTAAAATTAACTCATTTATATAAAAGTGGTGTATATGAAACTCTAACATATTTTACAACTGTTACTTGTTTTTAATATTTGTATAAGAACCCAAGCTCCTAGACCTTGGAAATCAGGGGGACTTGGGTTTGAATCCCAGCTTTACCATTTATTAACCTCTTGACCTTGGGCAAGACTCTGGTTTTCATATTCTTTATATAAGAAATGGCAGTAAAATAACATGACTCTCTCCAATGGATCAACAGAACATGTGAACATCAGTCTATACAACTCTGAGACCAGAAGAACTAGATGATGCCCATCAACCACTACTAAGTGCTTAGAAGGTCTGGGATACAGGGGGAGAAAATGTTGTACAAAACTCAAAATAATTAAAAAAAAAAGACAGGTCTTACTGGTCAGAAAGAGACTGGTGGAATACAAGTCTAGCCCTTGGCCACTATTCAGGTCTAGAACAGAACTCAACCTCCTCATGACCCAATATTCAGTCAAGCAGTAGACAGGTATATAGCGGGGACAACATCACTACTAAAACATGTTCACCATGGAATGGTCAACCATTTAAGATCAAAAGGGCAACATTTACCTACGGTCTAAATTCAGAAAGGATGAGAATGAAGGTGGAATGGAAATAACCACAGGGAGGAAGTATGGTTACATGGAAGGGATTACAATCACTGAGATGAAACAAAGTACATGATATGTTGAATGCAAAACTGGTGATCTCATAAACCTTAACTCATTTCACAATAAAAGTTTCAAAACAACAATATGAGTCTCAAGATTGACACAAGGGTTGAATGACACATCATGTAAAAACTTGACTCACTACATTATGTCTCCTCTTTCATCCCTCTGGTCCCCAAAATGCCTGAAGAAAAATGAAGAGATCTATACACTGAGCAAAGGAAGGTAAGGGGTCCTGGAGTCTCTGAAGGAGTCTCTGGTATTCCAGGAGGCGTTGGACTTCCATCCTGTGGACACGATCCATGCTCTCTCCCTCTCCTGAACCCTTAGGGTAACTTCTGCTCACTGGACCAGAGAAGAGGCAGGAGGCACTCGCTGCTTAGAGCACTCTGTACCCAAGGCACAACAGACTGGCAAAAGAGCCTCTCACCCAGTTCATCAGGCAGTAATGAAGGCAAAAATATAGAGGAAAATTATGAGCAAGAATAAAGAATTAGACATGGAAAGAAAATCTCCAAACTCTGGAAGATGCAAAGGTTGAAGATGCCAACATGAATTTAAAAAAAAAAAAAAAAAAAAAAAAACCTTTATTAAAATTAAGGGGTCTTGGTGGCACAGTAGGCTAAGTGCTAGACTGTTAACCAAAAGGTTAAACCAAAATGTGTGAACCCACCACCCACTCTGTAGGATAAAGATAAGGCAGTCTTCTTCTGTAAAGATTTACAGCCCTGGAAACATTATGGGACAGCACTACTCTGTCCTATAGGGTCTCTAAGACTATGGAATTAAGTTGACAGTGGGTTGGTTGTTGGTTTATGAAAATTAACTCTCAAGTCTAGAAATATATGGATACAGGTTAATACATGTAAGTCTGTGAAATAGCAGAAACCTCTCTTCCTCTCATCCTCCATTTCTTTTTTCACAGATTTATTAAAGTTTATCAGAATTAAAAGCTAACAAACTAAACAGCTTAGATGCCTAAATTATACACTGGTTATGTCTAGCATCACTAGTATTGGGTAAGTGTACAGATTTCTTCCATTAATTTATTCATAGTAACCCTGAGGTATCTGGAAGAATCTGCCCAGGCACATAGCTGTTATAATTGAAAGTCTCTAGACTGTGTCTCTGACTCTGTAATACAGAAAATCAAACCTTGTAGCATATAAACCGTGGCTTATAAACCACAAGGTGAGCTGGTGGCATAGTGCGATATGAAGTGGGCACCTAAGTACAAGCATTCAAATCCACCTGCCACTCCTCAGGATGCCTTGGGAGAAGGAAACTTTCTGCTCCTGTAAAGATTTACGGCCTCAGAAACCCTATATGGAGTCATCATGAGTTGGAAACAATTTGATGGTATGCAGCAACAACAGTACAGGACGTAAGTCTAGCATTAAAGGCCTAAGTTTTCCAACAATATTTTTCCCTCTCCTGCCTTCCCACTCTTCTCCCTTTTTTCTTTTCTTCTAATCTAAGAAAGAAGAAAGGGAATCGATTAGCAAATTCAAGGAAAATGAGAGTTATCAGAATAATCAAGAGAAGTAGCTCAGCGATGCTTTTACATGGAAATCTTCTTCAGGACAGGTTGGTGGATGGCCCGGACTAACCCAAACCCACCAGGCAACTGCTGATAGTAAGAAGTCAGAGAAAAGTTCTGATATACCTCCTTATTAAGTTCTTTCCCTTTATTTTACTTTTCATAGTCAGCAATCCACTTTCCAATCCCACCGCATTCTGAATCAGCATCTCAGAATTAGCCAAAACATAACTGACCAGGAAGCACAAAGTGGACGCTCCATAAATTTCCCCTTGAACTTGATTCAAACTCAAACTCTCGTTTCAACTTGTGGTTAATCAGTCAAGGTGCAAAACGAGGAGGGGGTGGGGGGAACTCGATCTAGACCAGGCTCCTGGGAAAGCCCCTACTGTCATCAGAAGTTTTCCCCCACCCCAAACAGGTCTTACAGTAGTAAGAGGCATTTTTACTCCCTCCAGAAAGAAGGAGCCATACGTACAGTGATCTTGCTGGCTTGGTTCAGGGCTTCAACCCAGTCCTGAAGGTCTTTCTGGTCATTAGCTTGAAGAAAATACTTCTGAGAGAGGGCATTGATGACTGCAAAAATCATGGAAAGGAAGAGACAAAATCCCAGGTCAGAATATATGCAACACAAAGACTCTGCAAAACTAAGGTATTTTAATTTAGCAAGGTGGACCATACTCAAAACTGATCAACAAACATCCCTTGATCCTAAGTCACAGACATAAATATTTAGGAAGCAGCAAGCCACAACTGCCCTCTCTCCCTGACCACAGACAACATTAACAACAACTTCAAAGCACTGTTCTGTGGCGATGAGGCTGTTAGGCCATCATCAAGACAGATTCTTTTAGTGGTACTAGGAGATTTACGGTGGTGCTGACACATATATTAGTTTGGACCCAGTGCTCCTTGCTTCCACTGGCACAAATGACCTGGATTCAGAGCCTTGTTTATGGGTGGGAAATAGAACAAAGCTTGCTGGAGATAAAATCTATGACCTTGGTTTCATTTTAAACCTGCTCTTTCCTCTGAGAATTCCATTAGGTCAACAATTTACTTCTGGGTTCATAATATTTTTTTTTTGCTTTTTGTTTAGATGTGCTAACTAGAAAATCTATGAGAGTCATTTTTAAGTTTGGCAATGATACTTAGAAGAAGTGAAAAAATGAGGGTACTTAATAATTTTGAACTAATCTGAAGTTGGGAGAAGAGAACACCTAAGGGACTCTTTCACATAAGCCTGAATCATACAAGGGGAGTATCAGGAGATCAATACAGAATTCATTAGTTCATGCATGTATTCATTCATCAAATATATATGAACACTGTGTGCCATGAACCATAAGTGCCATGGAAACAGCAGTGATCAAACTGGAAAGAAATCCCTGCCTTCATGGAGCTTACACTCAGAGTCACCATAGATACACAACAGGATCCATTTGTTAGCATTTGCTTGTAGCATTTAGTACAACTGTGAGAACACAGTAGGAGCCAAATAAACACTGATTCAATGACCAGATGCATCCCCTTAATGGCTCTGCTCCCTGCATCATTCACCACAACACTGGCACTCATTTGGCAACACCAGAACCCTCAACAAAACATGCCTTTATTTCAACTTAACCCCCCTTCCTGATATCCTCACTCTTCTCCCCCAACCCCACCTTCTCTAAGCATACTATTACTCAGCTCTGAATAAGCATTCCCAGAAACTTCTAGTAGATATTTTACACCCCAACCTGTGGAGTCAGAAAAACTGAAATGTCACTGGTCCTTTGGTCATTAATAATTCTAGCAGAGAAGCGGTATCTCTTAAGATCCAGGAACATCACTGTGATTTAAGTCACTCATGCACACAGGGCAGGGTCACATGTGATCACAGGACCATTTCCATGCAAAAGAGGAAGTTGCTGTGTGAGTGTTAAGAAAGCCCATCCTCAGTATTACTTACCAAAGCAAAATGGAGTTTTGGGTTTCTGCTTTGGGGTAGCTACGCTCACCTAAATCAAATGAAAATAAAAGAAACATGAATATGTTTCTAACAATATTCTTATTGTAAATGTTTTCACACATGAAGAAGAGAGTATAAAACATAAGTGTACATTTTAAGGGAAAACCCTGTACACACCAGCCAGATTAGGAAACAGGCCATTATCAGTACTGTTTCTTAGAAACCCTCTGAGTGCCCCTCCCTGATAGAATCCTTCTCCTCACCCTTGAGAGAGAAACACTATCTTATATCTGTATTAATTTTCACCTTTGCAAAACCACTTTTAAAAGCCTCTGGGTTGTGACAAAATGTCCTTTGGCCCACAAAACCTTTACTGGTACCATTCACGTGAGCATAATTGTGTCACTGTTGGAGAAGCTCTTGACCTCAGGGCTGGTTTGAATTGCAAGGTCGGTAGTTCAAACCCACCAGTTGCTCCTCATAAATCCTATATAGGGTTGCTATGAGTCGGAAATGACTCGACCACACTTAACAACAACTCAACCACCCAAACCAACTGCCATTAAGTCAATTCTGACTGATAGCGACTGCACAGGAGCTGGGCTCAAGGTCAGCATTTGGAATTTACCAGTTGCTTCAAAGGAGAAAAATGAGGTTTTCTGCTCCCCCCAGAATTTTCAGCCTTGGAAACCCCTACACAGACTCCACGTCACACAACCACCACCAGCAGCAACCCTTTAGGGCAGAGCAGAACTGTTCCACAGAGCTTCCGAGGCTGTAAACTTTTATGGAAGCAGACAGGCTCACCTTTCTCTTGTGCAGTGGTTGGTGCTCTTGCAGTTAGGAGCTGAGCACTTTAGCCATTGTACCACCAAGACTCCTTCAACCACTGACACCTCTCCCTAAGCAGTTCTCTTAAGTTGAGGAGGTACTGTTACAAATACATGCAGATTCCAATTAAAGGACTCAAGTCAGCATGTCACCCACTATATTTAGATATACTGACCAATTTCCTCTATTATCTACTCTGGCTGCTTAACCATGAAAATAAGCACTTCCCACATGACCAAAGAGAGGGGCTGATGTAATCAGAGACCATACTTATGTATTTAAAGGGAAGGGTCTAAGAAAGAGGAACTATCTCTTCAAATATTTATAAGAGAACATTTGTCATTTCATTCATTTTTACATGTAAAAATTTATTATGTTCACCACAGTGTGCAAACATCACCACTATCCATCTCCAAATTTTTTCATTTCCCTAAAAAGAAACTCAGCACCCCTTAAAAAATAACTCCCTCTTTTCCCCTTTCACTCACCCCTGGTAACCACTAATAAACTTTGGTTATCTATTCATTTGCCTATTCTAGATGTTTCATTTAAGTGAACTCATACAGTATTTGTCCATTTGTGTCTGACTTATTTTACTCAGCATAATGTTTTCAAAGCTCATCCAGCCAGAAGCTGAAGAAAATCCTTGAGTTAAAATTAAGGCCTCTCGATAGTGAAAAATGGTTAATGCTATCGGCTTAAGCTAAAGATTAGAGGCTCAAATATACTCAGGGGATACCTTGATAGAAAGATCTGATCACTTATTTCTGGAAAAAAGCCATTAAATACCCTATGGATCACCATTCTACCCTGACACACACAGGGTCATCATGAAGCATGATCTACTTGATGGCAACTGGTGATGTTCATTTATTCCCATCTATCTAGATTCATTTATTCTAAACTCTCCCTATACAAACTTGCCCAGATTCCTTTAACAATCAAAATTAATACTGCCCCAAATACTCAAGAGAGGAACTGTGGTAGCAGGTCTATAAAAGTCAAAAGGGCAGACACTAGAACCTAGGCTTCAGAGTCAGGACAGCCGAGGTTCACATCTCTGATTTCTCAGATGTGTGACCCCCATTATTTCCTGATTTGCCAATTAGGAACAATAATATCATGTCCTCATAGAGGTACCATAAAGATTAAATGCTACAGTGTGTGTAAAGCATTTAAACCATCTTGTCTTACAGAAGCTGCTCCATCAAGGAGGGGCTACTTATAGCTTCTGGTACCCCGCTGACGGTTGCTGCTAAGTGCTGTCAAGGCCATTCCAACTCACAGAAACTCCCTATAGGGTTTCTGAAGGAGCTCTGGTAGCACAGCGGTAACAAGTCAGGCTGCTAACCTCAAGATCAGCAGTTCAAAACTACCAGGGGTTCCTCGGGAAAAAGATGAGGCTTTCTGCTCCTGTGAAGATTTACAGCCTCAGAAACCCTACGCATGGTCACTATAAGTTGGAACTGACTCCACGGCACACCACTACCACATAGTTTCTGAAGAGCAGCTGGTGGGCTTGAATCGCTGACTTTGCAGTTAGCAGCTCAGTGCTTATCCTATAGCACTATACCATGACTCCATTTTTTCTTGAAGTCCCACTTCACATAGTAATACAGGCAGGGCCATTCATCCACTTGACACTAAGGCTTACAAAAATGTCTGAGACTTGAAAGTAATACCTGACCTCCAACAGACAAGATAAAGATGGGATAGTCAAAACTAATAAATACTTGATTAAATGTCTATAAACCATTAGCTCAACCTCATTGACAAATATTTAATTAAATATGTATAAGATACATATTAAGTCAACTTCATTAATTTTTCAACAAAACAGTCACAAAAACTGCATTAACATTCTAAAATAATTAGTATCTTGGATTTTTCTTAGTTTACAAGATTCCTTGAATATGAAAATGCTGTTGAGAAATCAAAACCAATCATAAATGAAATGAGTTACTCACAGCCAAATAATTTCAAAAAATAAGAGGATTAAATTATTTTCAAATATTTTACAACAAAATAAAAGTAAATTATCTTTAAAGAGGGGTGTGGATGCATTTTGAATGTTTACCATGATGTGAAGTGAAGGACACAGGGTCTAAGCAAGTCTTTAAGTTGTCCTGAAAAAATAAAGATGGATGCAAAGGTGAACCCCCATATCTTGAGTCCAGACACAGATAAGCCAGCCCAAACTCAGTCATGTCTGCAAAGCACACAGGTGTGTGAGGTACACTGCAGTTCTAGAACGTAACAACTCTCACCTCCATTCCATCTTGTTTTCTTGGGTTCTGGACCCACAGCGCAACCCAAACTGGGTTTTTGCCTGCTTGCATGTGATATTCTGGACTGTTGTGACCCATTTCCTTGCTCTGTCCATTAGCATCCATGTTCCTGCGGGTGCTCTTGCCATAAACTTCTACTTGTCCAGCCCTTGGTTTTAGTATCCCTCTGATCTTCATTGCACAATGACCCCACAGAACTGTCTTGACCATCCTGGCCCTCAGAACCCAGTTATTGCATGGTGCCCCTTGTCTTTTTAGCTTTGGGATGGCACTGACAGGGTGGGTATTTCTAAAGACTCCTCTGACTTAGTAGAAGAATCACCCTTTCTCTGAGAAACTAACATTTCTATCATTGACTAAAGCATCACCATCTAGGTTTTTCACTCTTTGGATTACAAATGGTCTACCTGATCACTGCCTATAACTGTGAGAATGCTATCCATGTGCTTATTATGGAAATTGAACCTTTCGAGATTACTTGGTTCTTGTTTTCTGGTTGGTTTATGCATGTACTTCATTTTCCATTAAGGGTACACATGTGTTCATGCATGTGCACTTACAATCTACCTCATGCCTATTCGTGGTAAATATTGTTGAGTAAAGCAACTGAATTAACAGGGTATCAGTTCTAGTTCTGCATCGACTGACTGTGTGGCAAAAATAAAACACTCAGTATTTCTGATCAGCTTCCCAACTAACAAAGCCAGAGTAAAAACACTAGTCTCCTACTTATCAGCAGAGAATGGCAAAAGAAGAAAATAAAATTGTATCTACTATTGGAGTCCTGGTGTGGCGCTGTGGGTTAATGCACCAGACTGCAAAGCCATTTGAACTGCAAGGTTGGCGGTTCAAGCTTACCAGTTGGCTCCTCGGAAACCCTATACAGGGTCTCACTATGGGTCCCAGTCGACTCAACAGCACTTAACCAAAAAATAAATAAATAAAATGTCTCTGATATTCAGAAAGAAAAGCCATGACTATTTCCATTATTATGGGGAGGTGGCTTTGGGCCTCTCCCTTAAATCCCAGTAATACTAGAAGTTGAAACCACTGAGATGTATAATGCCATTCTACTGCCATCTCCATCACATATTAACGATCATATCAGGCTGTTACAGCCTCCTTCAGACATTTTAAACAAAAATAAAACGCAATGCCATCAAACTGATTCCAATTCACTATGTGTTACAGAGTGGAACTGCTCCATAGTGTTTTCTTAACTGTAATCTGCACAGAAAGGAATCCTGGTAACACAGTAGGTAAACTCTCAGCTGCTTAGCAAAGGTAGGTGGCTCAAACCCACCAGTAGCTCCAAGGGAGAAAAGACCTGGTGATCTGTGCCTAAAAGGATAACAGTCTAGGGAACCCAGCAGGGCAGTTCTACTCTGTCCTATAGGGTCACGATGAACTGGAACCAGCCACAGTCTCCACACCACCAGGCCTTTCTTTCAGTAAAACTGAGTGGGTCCTAACCACCAACCTTTAGGTTAGTAGATAAGCACAAACTGCTTATGTCACTTAGGGACCTTTCTTTAGACATAGTAAAGGAAGAAAAGATCCTGATGAACAAGGGTGACTGCAGAGGGTAAGGACGCCTAAGTCTGACTCTAGTGAGGTTTGAGGTGTGTAACCATCAATCAGCATGCCCAAAGGTGGCCACAGTGGAAGTGGTTGGCTGACTATGAGGAGGGGATAGGCACAGGTCACTGGTAGAGTGATGTAACCAATGACGCTCCATAGCTCAACAGACTCTTGACAGTTTGTTCTTATCAGATCAAACACAGACCAAAATGTGCAGCAAACATGTCTGTAGCAGGGTACTGCTAAAATCAGCCACACCCTGTTTGCTCTTAGCTAGAGTGGAGCTGGGACCCCACTGGCAGGAACAGTAGTAACAAAACACACTTCTGGGAGTTCTGGTGCAACTCTGCCCCAATATCCAGGGTGACCGTGCCCCACATGTGGTATAAGAAACAGGGAAATAAGCAGCCAGCCACCTCTACAGTACGACTGCAGGTGCTCTAAGCTGGGGATCTCTGGACCTGCTTCAGTGGGCCCACATGCTCCCTGGAACAGGCCAAATCAGAAATGTGTACACATTTGCCTGGACCCTTTTCATCAGACTCCCAGACGGATCCATGACCTTCCATAAAGTTAAGAACTATTGTTCTAGAAAGTTCTTCATGACCGCTAGCTTTGGGCAAGTCCCTGACAAAATAAGCTACAGCCTAGGGTTGGGACAGTCAGAGTACAAGAGAGGACCCATTAGACAGCGTTGGAGGGTGGGTGGTGATTAAAACCAGCTTTAACTATTTTCTAGTTTTCCTAAGAACTGGTTCTGCTGCCATCGATTTTCTGGATGGCATCAGGTAAACCGCTCTCCTCTCTGTTTACTTCTCTGCAGGATCTCATGCCGTATCTCGTATTCTCCAATATTTGCCCTCAAGAAACAGCTATAGAAGAGAAACCCCTGAACAGAGAAACCATATAAATACAAGCCACTGTGGTTAAATGTATTATTCTGTGAAGGGCTATGTAGGGGTAAGCAAGAAAGAAGCTTTTTTCCTCTGAAATTACCTAGAGAACTGAATTTGATACAAGCACCATGGCTAAGTGTTTTTCTGGGAAAGACCATGCTTTCTGGCAGTGGGTCAGGCAGGAGTTAAAGGCTTTGCACACTGTGTAACCTAACCCAGTAGCAGCTGTGGGTTTTGCATGCCCACTCAGGCCCGCCTCTCCCATTAAGGGCTAAAAGGCAGGTCCATCCTTTCTAAATGAGGCTGAGAATTCTAAAAACCCTCATCTGAGCTGCATTTATAAATCATGATTCAGCAGGAGATTGTATTCCTTCTGCCCCCACCAAAAAAAAAAAAAATCTTTCCAAACCCTCTCAGACAAGGAGGAGGGGTGTTGGTTACCATTAATAATGAGGTTCTCTGCTTCACCCTCTCACAATTTTAGTTCTCCAAACCTGGTGAAATGACCTAATGAGGACAGGAGAGGGGGTAGGACAGTAGGGCCCCCGGGCTCTGGCCCGCCTGGCTGGCAGAGGGAGCCACGTTTCTTACCACAAGGCATGTACAAATTGCCCGCAGCTGTGCTAGCAAAGCTGCACTTTGGAAGGCCCACCCTCTTCCTGGGCTGGCTAGTCTCTCCTCTCTCATCTGCTCAGACGCTGCCCTGCATCGTGTGCCTTTGTGCTCAGCTGTGCCTGCCCAAAAAACGCAGGTGTCGGGCCGGCCTGCCCTTCAGCTAGAGGGAGCCTCTCTTCCTAGGATCCCCTCAGACTCCGAGATTGGGAGTCAAACACAAAGATTACCAAAACGTGTTATAAGAAGGAGTCAGAAGCCATTCAGCTTAGGGTTCTCCCAGGCTTCAACCCTCTGGAGATGGGAAAGGGTGAACAGGGAAGCAGAGGCCCCCAAGAGGCCTGAAGAGCTGGGTGTGTGGTGAAGCAGGACTTCCGGAACCTCTGTGCTGGCTGGAAGCCACCTGGCTCTCCTCACTGTACAAAGAGTTCCTCTTTCTGGGGAGGCTCTAAGTCCCTAGCCTTTTTATCACTGCTGTATCAGACATTAGCACTGGTGCTGACTCCAGAGAGGGTCCCCCTTGAATGAGCTGAATTCAGCAGCTACTCCTTCGTGGTCACCATTAACTAGTCTCCACCCCCAGGTCTCCACACCAAGAGGGGCTGCTAGATGATAGCTGATAACCCTGCTTACCAGGCTCTCAGGCAGTTCTCCGGCTGCTAGATGGTTTCTTGACATATGAGAGCACCCTCTGTGGGTATTCTGAGCCTTTCCTCCGTAGTTAATTTGGTCCAGGTGACTGACAGAATTCCCGTGAAGCCCCAGCTCTTTCTGAGCGGTTCCTGTTTAAATTCACTGCCCTTTTAAAGAATCCTTTACAGTTATGGGATCCCTTTTGGTTTTATGTTCCTTATTGTTCCAATGACGACAAAGGTACTACCCCCAGCCCAACCACCACCTATATATTAACAACCTCATTTACTGGGAAGCGGCAGCATTGCTAACTGATATGCCTAAGGAGTAAAGATGCCCCACCCTCTAAGAATTTGCTAACCATCATTACAACCACTTCTGGTCAGCAGCAAAGCTACCAAAGAAAGTATCTGAGAAAAGAAGGGCATTTTAATGTCCATGCAATGTTTCCCAATGCTACACCTAAGGAACTTGGCACTGCCTCTTGTTTAGATACTAACCCTACCTATTTGTTATTATGAAGTGCTGTCAAGTTGGTTCCAACCTATAGAAACCCAGTATAGGGTTTCCAAGGAGCAACTGGTGAGTTTAAATCACTGACTTCATGGTTCAAAGCTACCTTGCAGTCCTGCACTTATCCTACAGCGCCATCGCAGGACTCCTTAAGGAACATGAATTCCCGGAGCTCAAGGCAAACATTACCTTCGAGATGTAGGTCAGCTGCAAAGATCCAACGGCTCCTGCCCCAATTGCCAGGTTCTGAAAGACATATTTTTTTTCTTTTTAAGAAGACTGTGGAAACAACACAGGAGACAGAAAACCAACATGCTAGTTCTGTTTAGGCTTTGCAAGCTTGACAAAGTCACTTAATCATTCTTTAACTCACTGTCCTCACCTGTAAAACGGTGACACCAATTCCTGCCAAAGGATTTTTATGGCGTACATTAATTCTACTCCTAATGTTATTACATTTAAAGTGTGGGCTCCACAACCTAACTATGAGCAACTCCTTAACCACTCTAAACCTCAGTTTTTCCTTCTGAAAATAGCAATGATAACAGTACTTATCTCATAAGGCAGTTGTAACGATGAGTTAATACATTCAGGAGTGCTTGGAACAGTCCCCTGGTATATATGAAAGTTCATGGAAAAATTCCATTACCATTAATTCCATATTTCTACTAACTTTCTGAAGCCCCCTCATAGGAGACATGAAGCAAGTACTCTTGTGTAATTTTTCCTGTCTTATGCCACTTCAAATGATTTTCATAACCAATAGGGTATAAATTCACATAAAAAAGAAATAAAAAGTGTAACTTCAGTGTACTGCACAGGACTGTTAAGACTGTAAAATGAAGTGATTCTATAAAAGACAAACGTTAAATGTGAATAAACTAGGGGTGCAAATGGTTAGGTGCTTGATGACTGGTTGTGAAAGTTTAGTGATTCAAACCTATCCTTGGAAGACAGGCCTTGAAAACCCAATAGAACAGTTCTACTCTACATACATGGGGTTGCCATGAGACACAATTGATTCAATGGCAACGAACAGCAAGAATTAAAGCAGCAAGAACCTCACAGGCACTATATCTGGCAATTTATCTTCTACCTTGGCATTACCGCTTTGGGTTTATAATTTTTCCACTGTCAGAAATGGAGCAGTGACAACACAGGACAGGTAACATATCATAGAAAAGGACAAGATTAGAAATCATAGCATTCCAGTTTCTAATTTATAACTAATTTATAATTTATATGAAAAATCAACTGTAAGAATCTATTCAGAGTTCTAGTAACCTCTTAAATGGTTGTCATACGAATAACCTTGGAAGAAATCGTCACCTAAGGTCATCTGTAAGCAATAAAGAGGTGAATCTTGCGTAATGGGAATTTGGTAAATTTCCTGAAGGATTAACAATGAAAGTACTTATTGGAATGGTGATAGTTAAGGTTTTGTGTCAAATTTACTGGGTCAAATATTCTCAGTGGTTCAGCAGTTAAGACATAATAATTCCCCATGATTGTTGTTGTGGTTAAGTGCTGTTGAGTAGGTTCTGATTCATAGTGACCCTGTATAGGGCTCCAAGGAGCAGCTGGTGAGTCTGAACTGTAGACCTTTTGGTTCAAATGGACCTTAAGGTCAAGTGTTTATCCTATGGTGCCATACCAGGATACCTTCCCATGACTGGATCTAAGATAATGCAATCACCTACAAAATGTGATCTGATGTGTTCAGCCCTGATCTAATGTATTTATCCTGTGTGTTGTAAATCTATAGGATTGGTGGCATCTTGAGCCAATCTCTTTTGAGATATGAAAAAGAGAAGTGAGCGGAGAAAGACGGACCTACTCCTATCAAGAAAGAAGAGTCTGGCATCAACCTGCCGCACCTGACTGGCATCAACCTGGCCCGCCTCACCGGCATCTGAATCCCCCACCTGCCTGTTGCCCCCCTCCCCCACCTGCCTGCCATCCCCTTCCACCTCCTGGATGGCATCCCCCTCCGCAACCAGCCTGTAACCAGCCCCCAACACCTGCGGGTCCCCTGTCAACTGGTCAGTGCTATCCTCCTGCATGGGATGACATCTCCCTGCATCAATTGATGGGGATACCCAAGCCATAAGAGGCTGGTTATTTCCCACCATCATTTCAGCTTCATGAAAAGTGGCAGACGTAGACCCTTCTTAAGGAAGGAGCTTGCAAAATAAATGTAAAAAGCCAAAAAAAAAAAAGAAAAAGAAGAGTCGGGAGAAAATTCTTTGGACCTGTGGGCACTTCACTGTGAAGTTCCCCAATCCAAGGGGAAGACAGATGCCAAAATACACAGAGATCTCCCAGGAATTACGGGATTACAAAGGCTGAAAGGAGACGAGGACCTTTCCCCAGAGTTTGGACTTCCAGTCTCCAAAACTGAGAGAGAATAAATTTCTGTTAAAGCCATCCACTAGTGGTATTTCTGTGAGAGCAGCACTAGATAAGTAAGACGGTAACAATGTGTCCACTTAAATTTCTTAGATGACAGAAAACAATCCTTCCAGTCATAATTACAAAATTAATACACATCACTTATAACAAATTCAATGTGTAAAATTTCAGATTCACAAGAAACTGGATTGGGTTAGTACCACAATAAATGTATTCTGGAAGTCTAGAATCTTAACAACAGATCTAGAATTCTATGCTCCATTTCCTTCCCTTTGCAAATGCAGGGTGGTGGTTGTTGCTACATGCAGACGAGTCAGTTCCAACTCATAGCAACCCTGTATCAGATTTCTGAGGCGTCGTTGGTGGGTTTGAACTTCCGGCCGTGTGCTTAAGAAAGGATCCATGAAAAAAACTGATTTTGAGTAGCCACATTATCATTAAAAATATGGATGATTTGATTTATACTTTCTTTTTAAAACTATATAGCTGGAACTAAGGTGCGCCTGACCCAAGCCATGGTATATTCAATAACCTCATATGGATGCGAAAGCTGGACAGTGAATAAGGAAGATCATAGAAGAATTGATGCCTTTGAGTTGTGGAGTTGGAGGAGAATACTGAAAGTGCCATGGACTGCCAAAAGAACCAATAGATCTGTTTTGGAAGAAGTGCAGTGAGAGTGCTCCTTGGAGGCCAGGATGGCTAAGCTTCGTCTCTCCTACTTTGGACATAGTGTCAGGAGGGAACAGTCGCTGGAGAAGGATGTCATGCTGGGTAGGGTGGAGGGTCAGAGAAAAAGAGGAAGACCCCCAACGAGATGGATCAGCCAGGTGGCATTGATGGACTCAAGTGTGGCAGCGGTAGTGAGGTTGGACCAGGATCGGACATTGTTTCATTCTGCTGTACACAGGGTCGCTATGAGTCGGTTCTGACTCGATGGCACCTGACAACAACAACATAGTTAATTGCTTTTTTGTGTTTTAGAAAACTTCTATTGGGTAAAAAGAGATGCTTTGTAGCCCCTAAGGCTGATACCAAAACTGAATGATGGCTCTAGAGGAGACAGTCAAGTCTGCACGTCCAGGTTGCAGCCAAGGATCCCAGGGACATATGGAGTTATAGGCATCTGCTGCAGACAGAGCATCTGCCTTCAGACCTTGTTTTGCAGTTGGGGAAAACAATTGGTGGCAGAGCCTGAACTCTAGTTTAGATCGCTTGACTTCATACCAATGCTTTGAACAGCATGGTATGATTTTAAAAGTATACCCTATGACAGTCAACAAGGTTTTTTGCTTGTAAAATAGGGAGAACAAGTCCTATTTCATAGAGTTGCTGGAAGAATGGAAATTCAGTGAGCCTACCATATGGCTAGATACTATTCTGTTCCCTCCCACAATTCTAATTACAAGAATACAAACACCAAGTCTCGAGCCTGGTCTTGCACAACTCACTCTCCTTACCCCAAACCACAGCCCAAAGGCCTCCAGAGCCCTATCTTGAATTATGAGTGATGTAGTGGGATTTGAAAAGCCGTTTTGACACTAGCCCACATGTAATGACAGATATAAGCTGATCAGATTTCAACTACTTCATCCCCTCCACCCCTCAGAGGTTGCTCCACCCTCAGTTCCCTGCTTCCCCTTCAAACTTTCCCAATTCCGAGAGAAAAAGACAGCACCTCTCGACAGGCCCAGTTATCCTAGGGGAGTAGTGGGGGTCTTCACCCACCTGACCCACACTTCACCCACAGTCTGCTCCCAGGCTAATATGTATCTGTGCTCCACCATGAGAAAGCCAGGAAAACATGACGCCTGTCTGAAAATGCAGTCCCCCACCACCTTCCTCACCACCCTGAAGGAAATAGATGACATAGGAGAAAACAATCCCAGGATCCTGAGGTTTGATCCAAAGTGATGGCTTAGTGTCCACTCTAAATACTGGGCCAAGAAGATTAATGGAGGCAGCCTGCAGCCAGGATGGCACACTGGCGGCCCCAGGCAGACACTTCCTGATCAAGGAATAATGTGCCAACATGCCTAAGCTGGAGGCCGAGGCAGCCAGATGCTGGGGCAGGAACACCAAGAAACAGCATCTTGGGAGGGGCAGGGAGTTAGAGTTGAGGAGAGGAGCCTAACAAGCCTGCCTTTCCTGGCCACAGCACTGTCTTCTCTAGGAAAAAGCCAATTCTCAGGGCCCCAGCTTCATGAAGCCTTTTCCATCTACTTCAGCTTGTGCTGACCTCCCGTACATGGATCTTTCCTCAACTTTGGTGAACATCAGATGCTCCTGGGGAGTTTGTTGTTTGTTTGTTTTTTTAAAAAAAAAGCCCAGGTTCCAAAGTTGAGAAGGGATGGAAGGTGGGTGGAATGGAAATAGGAACCACAGGGAGGAAGTAGGATAACTGTTGTTGCAGGGAGTGGATTGAAATCATTAAGATGAAACAAAGTGTATTATTTGTTGAATGTACAACTGATGATCTCTGCAAACCTTCACTCAATTAACAATAAAAAGTTAAAAAAAAAAAAAAAAAAAACAGTGCAGGCCTAAGTTTCACCTCAAGAACAGTGAATCAGAATCATCTGGAGTGTGGTGAGACCAAGTATATTCTTTAAATGTGATTCTTAGCTCTGCCCAAGTGTGAGACCTGTTGGTTTGCAGGAGGACAAAATCTAGCCCTGGATTCTGTGCCCGATTGTCTTCCTGTGGGTTTAAGTCTGTTCTCTCCAATTAGATTTTAAGCACATTGAGAACAAATCGAACTGTACTATCTTACATTAGCAGACTCAATTTTTAAATGGAAACATTTGCATAGTGGTTAAATTCCCAAACCAGTT